GTGTGAGGGCAGTGGGCGGGGCGGTGCAGGGAGGTCAGGCTGAAGGTCTGAGGGAGCTTGGTGGTCTCATGTCGCTGCCCGCCGTATGGGGCAGCTTTTTGCCTTTTCGGGAACAGTAGTATTCTTTCTAGTTTGGTCTAGTGCTTTGTTGCTGTGAAGAAACAGGGCTCAGTATTAAAAATATAAAAGCTCAGGCCCTGGTCAGATCTGCCCCGGCAGAGCAGGTGCTGAGGTGTTTCCTGAGGGAAGCAGCAGGGAGCTGAGGGCGCTCACCAGCACTCGGCTCCCCTCCTACCTCAACCGGTTTTAGATTTTTTTTTCTATCTCCTGTGAGGCCGTGGCCATATTTCACTCGTGTGAAATAAATCTAGTTTGACTCTGGCACACTACAGCGTTTATACAGCAACTGATAAATTCCTGCTGTAATGTAGCAGGGTGCTACTGCCACGGCACATAATGCGTTTAGGGGTTTGCTTGTTCTCACATGGCACAAATTCTTAAAAGTCAAGGCCGCCATAAAGAAACGTATCAGAGAACTGGAATCATAGTGTGGTTTGTAGCTCCAGCATATTTTTATGTATTCAGACTTACAGGTGAGGTCGTCATTCAGACAAAACTCTGAGGATAGTTGGGGTGTCCTGTGCAGGAGTTGAACTTGATGATCCTCGGTCCCTTCCAGGTCAGGATATTCTGTGATTCTGGGTGATTGTTACATTTCCTGGCCGCCATCAAAGGCACGCTCGCTATGGGAGCTGGTGTGTTCGTATGGCATGCCCAGAACTCCATGTGCTTTGCAGCTCCATTAGTGATATCACTGTTAAAAAGCAAACAATATGTACAAGGACAAAGTGGCTTTGTTATATAAATAGGTGGCTGAACACTGGGCCTTTGCCAGGCACTCTAAGTTTACTCTCTTCTGTTTAAAGCTTCTACCATTTGGTTCAATACTTTTTGTGTTTATTTTTATCTGTTCAGAGAAGCCTGAACCTGGGTTTTTTTGGTTCAAAGGGGCGTGTTGGGGCTTTTTTTTGCATTTATTTAAGGCCTTGCAAGGCACAGGGTTAACAGTGAGTTTGTCAAAGGCAGGAGCTATGCCAAATCCATTTGGCATGATCTGTTCTGAGAGTACAAAATCAGCACGAAAACAAGAATTCCAGAGTCATCAAGGTTGGAAGAGACCTTTAAGATCATCAAGTCCAGCCGTCCACCGAGCACCGCCACTGTAGCCCCCAAACCATTAAATATCACTCAGTGCCACATCAAGATGCCTTAAACGCCTCCAGCGATGGTGATTCCACCACCTCCCTTAGGTAGCCCCTTCCAACGCCTGACCACCCAATTATTCCGGGCCGGGTGATGCCGGGGGAGGGAGGCGACTGACTGGCGCTGCCTGAATTTAGGTATTTTTTTATAAAAACAAAGCAGCAGTAGCCAGCTGCCACCACACCCCGCGGCTCCCCCAGGGGCTGCCAGCCGAGCCCTGGAGCAGGCGGCGGGTCAGTCGGAGCTCACACGAACGGAGAGGCTCCGGCAGCAGCGCTGAGCATCTCCGGCTGCGGCCCGGGCGCTCCCGGAGCGCGGTCCCCGGCGCGGCCCGTCCGCCGCGGGTGACGTGCGTGTCCCGGCCGGGCGGGCCCTGAGCCCGCCCCGCCCGCCGCGGGGAGCGCCGGACGCGCCGCTCCGGAGGCAGCGCCGTGCGGGGGGAGCGGCCCCGCGGTGCAGCTATGGAGCCGCTCCGCCGCCTCCTCCTCAGTCTGGCCGCGCTGCTGCTGCTCCCGCCGAGGCTCGCGGTAAGCCCGGGCCCGCTGGGCTGGGGAAGGGCAGGGACAGCCGGAGCACGGGGAGGGCCGCGGGAGGGGAGCTGGGGGGGCTCCCACCGGGCTTAGGGAAGGTTTGCCCGCAGCCCGCCGGTATCCCCAGAGCCAACACACCTCCCGTCTGCTGTCGCTAATGCCGTGTGCCCCTGTGTGTGCAGGCGGGGGGCTGCAGCCCTACAGCCTGACCCAGCCCAACAGCCGTGTACCTGCAGCTGTGCCCCACCTGGCATGTAACCTGGACGTGTGTATCATAATCCTCGCAATATAAAAATACAGTTAATTTCCCACGAGGCAGTTCTAAAAAGTAGCACGGAGAAACTTTTGAAACAGTAGTACAAAGAAACTTTTGTCAACTGAAACTATGTAGATGGGTCGGGAACCAGTGAGACACGCTAGAAGATCTGCTCTGTCCCTTAATAAGTGAGGGGATTTGTTTTTTTCTGGAAAAAAACCCACACATTGTATATGTACTGATAACCAAATTCATGTGACTGGTTATATACAGAGGATGTATAGCTCTATACTGTCATGGCATTTTGATCATTCTTTTTCCAGAGCAAATGCAGCAATGTGCATTAATGTACATGTGGTTGGTTGGGATCCAAACCCACAGTTTTAAATTCAAAGGTGAAAGACAAAGTGCACGAGTCACTGCCCTACAAAAACCTCTTAAGAAATAACCAGGTTGGTTATAATAGGTGGAGCAATAAAAGTTCATGGAATAGGGAAACTGGTGCAAAGCAGATGGAATGCTGAGGAGATTATTTTTACAGAGGTAATAATTTGAAACAGTGTACTTTACAGTGGGTGCTGTCTGCTGTGTGTGTACTGAGATGGATAGCTAATTTCAAAAATTCACTTCTGAAAGGTGCACTTGTTTGCAGGTTCTCCAGATCAGGAGACAATGAAAAGGCCAGCTGGCATTCACTGTTTACATTATAGTCAGGCGTAGCACAAGAAAGCTTTAGGTTATGTTCTTTGATAGATTGTTCATTGTTACCTGAAAAAGCTGCTGTGATATATGGGGTTCTAGTTCAAGTTAAGCAAAGCCGAAGGCTTTGTTTTTTACCTGGGATCTAATAGCTCCACTCCCCTTCTTTAGAAGTAAAGTAAACACATTAGTAGTTAAGCTGGTAACATACCTAGTCTTATTGCTTCATTAGGAAACTGCAAAAATTAAATGCGGGCGGTCAACAAAAATTACTTTGCAATCTTTATTGTAAAGTGCTAATGTGTTTGTCTTAGACTGGACTGCAAGGCTGGACTGAGGTCTTTTCATGGTCCTCACAGATTTGGGTTTCAGATTTTGCAAGGAAAATACTGATTTGCAGCTCACTGGGTTTTAAAAATAGTCCTGAATAAGAACATTACGAAATATTTTAAAATACCTAAAATATTTTTTAAATCAACAGATTGTTACTAAATTTTATATAATTTTACTTTCATAGTCACAAAAAACTTGACTCATGTCCTGGTAAAATTCAGCCCATTTTCTAGATTTCCCTCTTTCCGTGGTTTCCCTTCCCTGCCATCTCACCTCAGATCAGTGTCTAAGTTCTCCATTTCTGTTTCTTTTCTGACTCTTACCCTGGTTTTTTTGCTCTGCCAGCTATAGATCCTCACCATGATTT